GATATGTGTATGTATGTATGTATGTATGTATGTATGTATGTATGTATGTATAAGTGTGTATTACACACACATATGAATACAATGCATACATTTTCATAGGTTTCCTGGATGGGAGGTCTGAGGCCAAAAAAAAAAAAAAAAAAAAGAGAAAAATCCACTGAAGTGTACCCAGGCCATTTATGTTGTGAGAATCTCTTACCCAGGGGTGAAAGAGGGGCTTTAAAAATATATGAATGGGGGCTAAAAGAGGGAACAGACTGTCACATGTGAAGAAAGGGGAGAAATAAAAAGAAGTATTGGTGGGCAAGTCTATCTGTAAAGTACAGTTCCAGTAAACATAAGCTCTGAAGGGCAGGAACTGCTTCTCACTTATACTTTCTACTTCTAGTACCTTGCATAGCTTTACCAATTCTTGTTGGAATGGATTGGATATGAAGAGGAGGGGGAAAAGGGATATTATTGAATTTTAAAAATATGAAACTGCTGGAGAAAGGCCAAGGTGTAGTTTCTCCAGACTGGGAACAAGCTGTTGGTATTGTACTTTGTGTGGGTGGTGGTGGTAGGTGGCGTCGGGCGGGGGGTGAGTGGGGGGGGGGGGTTGTACTTTCTGGCTCTTCCAGTCTTTTTCTGACAGGTCATAATCCTCTTGGATCATGTGACTTGGGCACAAGCAGACACCCTGGCCAACTACAATTTTTGTGAGAATCATTAGTACCTTTGAATCCACGCATTCCCATGGGTCCTGGGGCTCCCAATGCCCCATCATCTCCTTTCAGGCCAGGCAGCCCAGGAGAACCTCTCTCACCCATAAGACCTAGAGGAAGGAGAAGAGACATTTAAGTGGTGGTGGCAGTATTGCCACCACTTCCTCATTGTTCTAGATCAGTTCCTTTGAAGACTTGGCAAAATAAGGAACGTGAGGATATCAACTCACTGTGCTCGTCCTCATGAACATTGGGGAATAGCCCATTTCTCCTCCAAACCACTTTTGTCCATCCCTTTGACAGGGCCCTCACAGACCCCAGAGGTGAAAGAGAGCTCAGAGCCCATCTAGTCCCACACTACCTGAACAAGAATACTTTCTATGTCACACCTGATCAGCACTTACCCTGTTTTTTCCTAAGGGTGTCCCATGAGGAAGCAGCCCTTTTCATTTTTGGGCAGCACTAATTGTTAGGAGTTTTTTTTACCTTACATCAAACCTAAATTTGCTTCTCTACAACTTTTGGCTGACACTCCTGGTTCTTTTCTCTTGGCTAAAGCAGAGCTGGTCTCTTCTCTGCTCCACATGCCCTTCCTTCAGACACCCTTTCTCGTCTCTTCATTCCCCTCCCAACCCCCACCCTCTTTTGGCATTCTCGGTCATCCCCCAAGCCTCTTCCTAGGTCCCTTCTAATATTGGCCCCCTTCAGCTGCCTCTTGTGGGCTGTCTTCCCCTACTAAATTGTAAGCTCCTTGACGGCAGGAACTGTTTCTTTTTTATATTTATATCCCCAGTGCTTAGCACAGTGCCTGGCATACAGTAGGCACTTAGTAAATGTTTGTTGAATGATTGACTAAAATGGGAGATAATAATAATATCTCATAAGGTTATAATGAGGATTAAATGAAATAACATGTGAAGCATTTTGCAAACCTTAAAGGGCTATATAAATGATAGTTGTTACTGTTATTCACTCCTCAAAAAAACTGAACCTTTGATTAAGGCATGCTGCTATCTGGTGAAGGTAGCTGCCGAAGCAGAAGCCTTCTGTGATAGGCTGGCATGGTAACAGTCATTAAAAATATATGTACTTCTCTATTTTAAAAAGTGAGCTTTATCATAGCCATTCATCAGTTTTAATAAGGTTCCATTTTAAGCCAGACTTTAAAGAAAAAGTCTAAGATACAGTTGTGACCTTTCTCACCGATCCTTAACATAAACCACTAGTTAGCACAGAGGATAAGAGGGTTGGCCTTGGAACGTTCAGTCATTTTTCAGTTGCGTCTGACTCTTTGTGACCCCACTCAGGGTTTTCTTTGCAAAGATACAGGAGTGGGTTGCCATTTCCTTCTCCAGTTCATTTTACAGATGAGGAAACTGAGGCAAGCAGAAGTTTAGTGACTTGCCCAGGGTCACACAGCTAGTAAGCGTCTAAGGTTGGATTTGAACTCAGGGAGATGAGTCTTCCTGATTCCAGGCCTGACACTCTATCCACTGTACCACCTAGCTGTCCCCAGAGTCAAAAAGGCCTGAGTTCAAATCCTGCCTCAGACATTTAACTAGCAATGTGATCCTGGGCAAATCACAACTGCTCTAAGCCTTAGTGTTCTTCTCTGTAAAATGGGAATAGTAACAGCACCTACTTCACAGGGTTGTGGTGAAGATCAAACGAGATAATACATGTAAAATGCTTCACAAACCTTAAAGTCCTATAAAAAGGCTAGTTTTAATTAATAACTCATCAATTCCAATCTGGTTTCAGATCTCTTCTTGACTTTGAATTTTTATATTTCAGTCCTGCCCTTCCCAGGGTTGGTAAGTTATCATCTTTTTAAGTGATGTCTTTTGTTTTTACATCCCATTTCTTTCTGAATGGCAGCTAGGTGGTGAAATGGACAGAGCGCCAGACCTGGACTCAGGAAGACCCGAGTTCAAACCCATCTTCAGACACTTATTAGCTGTGTGACCCTGGCAAGTCACGACCTTTGTCTGCCTCAACTTCCTTATCCTTAAAATGGAAATAATAACAGCACCTCTCTCCCAGGGTCGTGATGGGAAAAAAAGGGATAATATTTGTAAAGCACTTTGCAAATCTTAAAGCTGCATATAAATGCTAGCTGTTATTATATCTATTCTATAGGAAAAAGCATTTATTAAGTACTTAGTATGGGCCATAAACTGTCATAAGCACTGGGAACACAAATACCTGTATATGTACATGTTGTCTTTCCCATTAGAATGTAAACTCCTTGAAGGCAGGTGTTGTTTTCCTTTTGTCTTTATATCTCCAGTGCCTGGTTCATAACAGATACTGAAGAGATGTTAGTTGGTTCATTGAAGGGGATCCCTTAAGCTGTAAAACGCCTGGTGTCATCTTCCACCAGATTCTAAATATTTTCCAAGAAAAAGCATTCAATTAAATCTACTTTTGGAAGATATCTTATTGTCCTCTTAGGGGGCAGGCAATTCCTGGTTATCCTGGCAGAACATGGTGTCTTGGGAAGCCCCATTAGTCATGCCATTTAAGATAAAACTAGACAAATTCAAAACTGAGTAATTACAGGGCCTTCCTAGGGAGCCACATAACCTCAGGGGACTCAGTAAGCCTGTGACTCTCCTACAGCAGCAGCAGCAGCAGCAGCATCTGCTTACTTACCTCTTGGTCCAGGCAAACCAGGAGCACCAGGTGATCCTCCTCTTCCTTCATTCCCTGGATCACCTTTGGGTCCTGGAGGCCCTAAAATGGAAAAATGGTACCAGGGTTAGAAATTGCTTTCTAGAATCCAGTCTCCAATGGACAAATGAGAATTTTTTCCCCAAATGGATCTTAAAAAGAAAAAGCTCAAGGATATCAAGAGAATCAATGGAAAAAAAATGTGAAAGATGGTGGTCTAGCCCAGCAATTCTTAAACTGTGGGTCGTGACTCTATATGGAGTCACATAACTGAATGTGGGGATCGAAAAAAAATTTGGCAAGAGTAAAAGGTTTCTGAATGCACAAAGACCAAAAATTAATTCAAGATCTAATGTGTAACAAATCCGATGTGTTTCTGGCAGCACTCGCTCGTGTTGTATCACATGACTTCACAGAAGCCTCGGTTCTGAACACAGGATTGACAATTATAAAACCAAAATACCAATCAACTCTGAAAAATGTTGAAGATGCTCTATGTCCTGCAGTACCAAATATTCCACCAAGATTTAGTTCTTTGTGTAAAAATAACGGTTTTTCATAATTGCACATGTATAACCTATATCTGATTGCTTACCATCTCAGGGAGGGAAGGAGATAATAGAATTTGGAATTCAAAACTTTAAATAAAAATGTTTTTTAAAAAATTGGGGAAAAAAATAAAGGCAACTCTACAGGCAAAAAGAAAGAAAGGAAGAAAGAAAAGAAGGGGCACCTCTGTACTCTGGCCTGCTTTCAGTTCCTTCTGGACAGCATCACCTGAAACAAGCAGGAAGTGAAGGCATTGACAGGGAAAGAACACTTCTTTCTGACCAAAAGGAATTCAAAGGGAAGGTCTGAGGCCTTTTTAAACAGAAACAGATTGAATTACATTAATCCTGGGAAGGGTGTGAGCTACATAGCAAACTGTGAGAGAGAAAGGACAGCTCTGCTCACACTATATTTATCTGAGTGGGAGTGTTGGCCATTCCCAGAAAAGAGGGAGTGAGCATAGCAGAAGTGATGTGAGAGCTGGACAGCTTCCCAGCTCTTCCTAGGTTGGGTCATCACAATATACCTTCATTAACTTGTTTAAAATATTGTAAATTCCAAGTGTGTTAGACATATCCCTGTTCCAAGCTAATTACCAAAGCTGTGTTTCATCCTGTTTTTGTTTTTAACCTATAACTTTGGGTTCACCATACCTCCCCTTCCTTTTATTGGGTAGGTTGATTTGGTGAGTTGCAGAGAGGGGCCTGACATCACGAAGATACGGGTTTAAATCCTGCATCAGATACTTCTTAGCTATGTGATCCTAGGCAGGTTATTCAACCTCTGTGGGCCTCTCTTTCATCCAATGGAAAATGGTGTTAATAATAGCACCTCCTTCACAGGGTTGTTCTAACGATCAAATGAGCTAAAGTATTTCTCAAACCTTAAAACCTTATATGTGTCAACTCTGAACAGAGAGGCAAGATGGGAGACGTGGATTCAAATCTCTCCTTAGATACTTACTAATCATGTAACATGGTCAAGTCACTTAACCTCTGTCTGTCTCAGTTTCCTTAATTGTAAAATTCGGATAATAATAGCACCTCCCTCCTGAGGTTGTTGAGGACCCAATGAGATAACATTTGTAAAATGCTTAGCACAGTGCCAGGCACAGAGAAGGTACTAATTCAATGCTTGTTTCTTTTCTTAGTTGCTTTGTGTTTTGTATATACCTAGATATATGCGTGTTGTCTTTTCTGTTAAAATGTGAGTTCCCTGAGGGTAGGATCTATTTCATTGCTGTCATTGTATCCCCAACTTAGCACATGTTCAGTCATTTTTCAGTTGTGTTGTACTCTTTTCCAGCTCATTTTACAGATGAGGAAATTGAGGCAAATAGTTAAGTGACTTGCCCAGGGTCCTATAGCTAGTAAGTATCTGAGGCTAGATTTGAACTTATGAAGATGAGTCTTCCTGAGTCCAAGCCCCGTGCTCCATTCACTGCACCACCTAGTTGCCCCATGTCTAGCACGTAGTAGATGCTTCATAAATGATTGACTGATTGAAAAATTTAAAGATTTTAAAAAATTATTTGTGACAAGGAAGGGACATAGTCAAAATAAAGGTGATATAAAAAGTAAAAGACAGCAATAAAGAAGAAAGAAACAGTTAAGAAAAGAAAGAAAAAAAGACTAAGAAATTCAGAGTAATTGAGTATCAGATATAAAAAACAAATCACTGGCATAAAAAAAAAATTACAGGAAAACCCTGTTGCTGGCCCCTTTCTTGCCTGGGGTCATTTCTTTATCGGGCCTTTGGCCTCGTGGGACCTGGAGGAGAGAACATGGACAACATCCATTGATGTAATCCATCCCCGTGTCTAGAAAAATAGCTCCAAGTGTTTATTCTGCTAGTGTTGGAGGCTGGAAGGGGAAGAAGAACATAGGGGTGGGAAAGATCGAGTGGGAGAGTCCTAGCTTCATTTTTTTTTTCAACTAGACCAGAACTAGGGAGCTATTGCCTTCTCCTGGCCTTACCTACTGAAGAAATAATAAATATGCCATGAGAGAGAGAGAGATGATAGAGTATAAACTATCATCTCTCTCATTGAGATGCCAATATATATCATGGAGGCCAGTGTGCCATACAGGGGATACGTGTGGATTTATTCTCAGTTATGTTTCTTTTTTACAAAGGGAATTTTTTTCTTTTGAGGTGGGGGGGGGAGAAGAATTGGAAATCAATCAATTAGCAGTATCAAGCACCTCCTATGTCCACTGAAGATACAAATACAAAAGTGATTCTATGGGAAGTAACTCTGTGTGTTTTTATGTGTTTTTATGTGTTTTTAAAGAGTATCAGTATGTAAGAGGGGTGCCCCAGTAAGACCAGCAAAAGTTGAAAGGTATACAAGGGCTAAAATACAGGGACATTGAAATGCAAGGGGGGAGGAGGGAGGATAATATTTTTTATAAGAAAAAAAAGAAATAATGTATGCCTGCCTCAAATCACACATATCTTCAATAAACTCCTCCTTGATCCTGGAGGATTTCCCTTCCCTCAGACTCCCTCCTTCTACCTAGGTTTCATTTAGCTCTTGTTTGAATTCACTGGCCCCTGATGGGGTGTGTGTGTGTGTGTGTGTGTGTGTGTGTGTGTGTGTGTGTGTGTG